ACGACCACAGAAACTGTAAAGCGAACACAGAGAGCTGTTCCAATCGGTGCATGACTACGAATATGAAAAAGCTTCCAGCAGAATTAGTGATGAGCTGTAACAGGTTATAACTTAAAGGCAAGAAGGCATCATGAAAACCATACACGTGACTACCGTCACCGACAGGGAAGATAACTTTAAAAATCGCAATTCTTAACTCTTTGGCTGGATTTTCAGCCTTTATATTCGACTGTCAACATCAAGGACTGTTACTAAAATGATTTCTAACTAGCTCCTAAACAAAAACAAATCATTCGCATGCGTTAGTGGACACTGTGGGAATTGAACCCACGACCTCACGCAATCATTATGCGAAGCGTGCGCGCTACCAACTGTGCCAAGAGCCCTACGTCATGATCCATGACACATTAAAGGATGACGTTGTTGTAACTCATTGAGCAACACTAACTGAAGGTGTCGAAATCCAATAGTAAATACAGTACATCTGCGAGTCACAAGAGAAAAAACAGCAAAGAACTTCATCGGCGATTCGCCTGAACTAAACGCAAAATAGAATTTACCCATTGAACGACATACGCCTTGATCCTGCTCATCAGTGATTTGCGCATCGGCATCGTGTCGGGACTTGCTGTATCGTTGAGACTGATGACCTTAACATTCGACTTGACACTGCCAGCTTTTGACGTTAAAGTGTCCTCGTCTGACGAATGTTCTTTGAACCACTTGAGGCAAGTCGTCAAGACTATTTCCGACTTTTAAGAGATACCGCACCTTGACAAGCTCCTTCGCAGACTCCTTCGGGAATCTTTGTTGCGTGTTATAGTCAACATAGGTCACGCCAAATCGCGTGATATACCCGTCAGCCCATTCAAAGTTGTCCAGGAAACCTTATCGTGGGATGCGGTCAGACGGACGATGCAAGGACTCCGATAAGGCTTACTCCAAGGGAAATACGCTCGTATGTCTACGCCATCCTCGTGAATGGCAGCCAGAAGGGCCGAAGTTGTTCCGCGGAAATACTGTACCCGGTCGTGGTCAAGCAACGCTTGCTCCAGAGGCATAGCATCCTCGTCTTTGACAGCAAAGCCGTTTTCCGTGACACTATGACACGGGAACAGGAATGAGGAGACTGACACAAAGAAAGTGAGAAACCGAACTATATGGGCATGTGGTACCGCTTGACGGATCTTTAGTGCACACTCCGGAAGTATTATTTGAATAAGTACGTACGTTCCATAGATAATTGAGTAACTTGATGGTCATGAGATGTCTTTCGTTCATATGGAACTGAATGAAAGACTCACAGCTCGGAATCCTTGAGGGTCTGAGAATGCAGGAATCATTGATAGATACTGATGAAAAGAAGACGGTGCCTACAATCCTGTAACCATGCACAATGCGCCTGTGTTCCCAGCTGAGACCCATCAGGTCTCGTGAAAGTGTAATCGACCAATCCCTGAAATTCGTCATCCCCGCCCGCCCCTGGTATCAGTAAGGTCCTCAGTACCCAAACGAGAAAATAGAGTAGAACTTACGGCACAAATTTGTGGTATATGTATTCATCCCATAGAAATCCGACGACCCCTGCACTAGTCGGATTTCTTCGTCCGTAAACTCTGGGAGACGGTCGCCAAGCATCTGCCGCAAGTACGATGGGTATCGGCCCAGATAAATCGGATCGGCGAACCATCCTATAGCGGTGTCGAGGGCATTTTGCGCCGCTTCCACGTCTGGACAAAAGAAAAGACGATAAATATACAGCTTTGTACTAGAATAAGGCTCACTTTCGGGGCTGTCATCCCAAGGCATCTGCCAGTCGCCATTGAGAGTTAGTCCAATTTGACCGCCGTGCTTGGACTTGAACTCCTCCCGGTAGAGCTTCACAGCTGAAGCATGGGCGAGGAGTACGTTATGACCGACACTGGACTGGGTTTTAGACGAAAGCTAGACTGGGAGGTATAGAGGACACACATCCAGGGTTCACGGCTAGAATCACCTTCAACAGAGCGTGCACGATCACTGGATCTTCCAGGAGCGAAGACACCTCGGCCGTATCCTAGAACAGAGATACACCAGGGTTCGTTCATAGTGAGCCTGCAGCAATTGTTCTGAGTAGACACCGGAATATTAGAAAACTGCTTACCAGTGTTTCACGCGGTCACCAAATGCTTCGAAGCACACTCTAGCATATCGCGTATAGTCCTTCGTAATCTCAGCCTTGTTTAACCACCCGCCGTAGCGGTCATGCAAACCTTGCGGGAGATCCCAATGATATAGCGTCTAGAAAGTAGCCGTTAGTTCACTGACCCTTAACCAAACCTAAAATACCACGTACGACAAACGGAACAATTCCGTTCTTTAGCAGCTCATTAATCAAATTGTTATAAAACTCGATGCCCTTCTCATTAATCGGATCATCCCTGCCGCCTAAAGGAATCACTCGACTCCAGGAGATAGAGAATCGATATGACTTTACGCCATACTTGACCAGTAGTGCGACGTCCTCTTTCCACAGACGGTACGAGTCCGTGGCAACCTCACCATCGCGTCCGTCAAGCGTCTTGCCTGGCGTCTTGGCAAAATCGTCCCAAATAGAAGGTCCACGCCCATCAACGGACGTAGAGCCTTCGATCTGGAACGACGCTATCGCAAAGGTAATTTGTAAAGTACATATCGGCTAGGACTGTGGGCGTACCTGTTGCGAAACCCCACAGAAAATCTTTGGGAAGCTTGTTTGCAGCAGAGGGAGTTGTCATTATGAGAGCAGCATTTTCGAAACGAGATGGCGCTGTCCTTTATATCATGTCCACCTACATCAATTACCGATATCAGAGAGAGAGTATTGACACGCCCTCCGAGATTACTCCGTAGGAGAATATGACGCTGCGATTGTGCTGCGAAAAGGCATAGGAGATTTGCCGGATGCTCGGGGAAAGACTATTGGCCCTCATACAGATCTTATTGAGATTCATCCCTGGTATGCTTCTTTTCCATCTCGTCTTCTGGGCACCAACCAGATGAAGAAAGAGAATGTAGGGGGCGTGTTAATCTAACGGGGAATTGTCGGGGAGCACGTGATTGGGTCTCCCCAGCTCTGTCCAGTTTTGCTCCAAATTTTCTCAAGCACTAGGTTTACAAGAACCCGCATTCAGGAAATTGACCTCTTAACGATGGCCCAACCTGCGAGACAAGGCTTTGCGATTCTCGGTGCCGGTATCTTCGCAACTGAAGGTGAGTTCTTGCATTTCAAGATCTGGGCGATCGCTTACAATATCACATCCGATATTTCACCTTTCCCCGCATGCAGCGTACATACCGGCCATCGCAGCTCTAGGAGCGTCTGCGCCCCCACTCAAAGCCGTGTACTCACGTTCTTTTAAGAGCGCCGAGAGTCTTTCGACTGCCGCTGTTAAGGCCTTGGGCATCTCAGCACCGGATGTCTACCACGATGACGAAAACGGCGGAGGCATAGACGCCATTCTAGCACGGCAGGACATTTCTTCGGTCCTTCTTGCCCTTCCCATCCCTCTGCAGCCATCAATGATCCTCAAGGCACTGAAAGCAGGAAAGCACGTCTTGAGTGAGAAACCGGTCGCCCCTGATGTCGCCAGTGGGATTGCTCTGATCAAACAATATCGGTCCGAGTTTCAGGGGAAGGGACTGGTGTGGCGGGTTGCGGAGAATTACGAGGTGGAACCGGTGATCCAGGAGGTGGGAAAATTGATTAGCGGTGGAGCAATTGGTAAAGTCATAGGGTTCAAAGCCTGCGTTTTGAATTATGTGGACAAGAATTCCAAATATTACAAGACGCCGTGGAGAACTGTGCCTGAGGTATGCCGGTCTTCTTTCCTTCCATTGCTTGCATACCTTCTTACGCACCGATTGACTCGTAGTATCAAGGAGGCTTTCTGGTGCGTGCTGTTCCTCAGTGGCTCTGCAAGTTCTAATATCCCCGTTGATCAGTTGGATGGCGGAGTCGTAAGTATATCAACTTACTATTTTCAGGAAGGTGGATACTGACTTTCCACGTTTCAGCATACGATCGCCATATTGCGGGTTCTACTTCCTCAGCCCATCACACACCTTTCGAGCTTTGCATCGCTAAACAAGGACTATCTCGCGCCTCATGACACGATCCACGCCATTGCGAGGGCCTCGGAGCATTACAACGGCACCCTCGAGATGACTTTTGCATTTCCAACAACGTCCAAGCCAGTCTCGGCGAAAGATACATGTGTCGTCACAGGGACAGAAGGATATGCGGCGATTTCTATTGAAGGGGGATTCATGAAGGCCGTTCTCACGACGGCGAAGAAAGAGACGATTGTAGAGGAGAAAATGACAGGCGTCCAGGTTGAGTTAAGGAGCTTCTTTGACGCGGTAGACGGAAAGGAAAGCATCTCGCCATTTGGCAGTCCGGTGGGAGCTCTGAAGGATGTTGCATTCATAGAAGCTGCTTTGAAAAGCAACGGTGCCCTAGTCGATCTCGGTTTGCTGATCTCCGGCATGGAATGAAGAAGATGGAAATAGTATATACAGTAACCCCTTATTTACCACTTGGGGCGTAGTACGAATGACGGTTTGATGTTGATTCGAGCCTCAAGTCTGCAGGGTCCATAATTCCACTTGTTGCGATATTTCTCCGCCCCAGCAACTAGTAACCAGGCCAGAGGTACCCCGTGTGAAGGACCGGAAATGAACCCATATAGATGAAACGCGAGGCAGCGAAGTTCATTTAGGGAACGGTTGACTGCTCCTTTCTAAGGATAAAAAATGAGCGGTGTCAGAGTCGGTCTGGCCGCTTGAGAGAAGTCCAAGAGATTTTTCGGTGCTGCGACGATAATACATGCCGTAGCAATGCCGGAGTAATGAGCGAGAGCTGCATGCTCTGATTGGGAGTGAGTGAATGAAGCGCGTTGTCGGATGAGCTAAGTTCTGGGACTGTTTAGGCATGTTTGCGACAGGGGCTCTCAGCTTACAGGGGAGATTGCGTCTGTTGTGGCACTATAGCCAAGTGGTTACGGCGATAGATTCAAATGAATATCAATCTATTACTCTTTGAGTGAGCAGGTTCAAATCCTGCTGGTGTTGAGGTCGTGCATGTTTTTACCTCATTTGGTTCGGATGATTGTGTTAAAAGGGGTAACTTACCTGTCCATAGTGACACATACACCATCCCATTGCACTGATGATTGACAACATAAAACACATTTCCACAATGATTGTCAATGAATCACATTTTAGGAGAAAGCAAGGATGTGTAAAAGAACATGAAGACAAGGATGGGAAATTATTGCATATGCTGAACATCAGGCTTGTATGGCGGGAAATACTGGACTAAAACCCCAGGTTTCCGTGTAGACACGTGTAGACACCAGTGAACACGTGTACACCGGTGTAATACCGTGTACACGCATGTACATGGGTGTACATGCATGTACATGGGTGTACACCCATGCACATGGCCTCTTTCCCTTGATCAATGTCATGGAGACGCATGTCAAACCAGTGTGTATGACCCTGGTACCACATTGGTTTGCACTGGAAATCGAGTGCAGACGGGTGGGGTGTTCACGTGTTTACACGGGTGTACATCCGTGTTGAATTGTCATGCCTAAATGGCATTTGGCATTTCGGAGCAGCAGAGCCCGCTACCCCTACCAGATTCATAATCTGCGTTTCGTTTTTGACTGCGGCATACCAGTATGCCTCTCACACCTCTCCCTCCTGCGCTCGTCTCCAATGGCCCCCACTCGGGTTGAAGGGTTCTTCTCAAATCCATGGTGTCCGGCAAGCTGTCGAGACGACAAGTACCAGCCTCGTGATCGTCCATGTCGCTCCTGTCCCTACAAGACTGCCCACAGACGAACATCTTTCCAATCTATCTTCCGACGCTCATCCAAGCTAGCAGGGGACGATGACGACGCCGGGTCGACGGGATACGAGGTTGGAGGAGGTGACGAGGCTGGATGACCGGGAAGCTAGGAGGGGCCATGGGGACGACGATGATGACAACGACGGGATACGAGGCTGGGGGAGGCTAGGGCTAGGGGACGGGGACAACGACAATGACATACAAGGCTGGGGGAGGTGACCGATGGGGAGGCTAGGGCTACGATGGGGACGACGACTTAGGGCCATGGGGACGACGACGACAGGATACGAGGCTGGGGGAGACTAGGGCTAGGGGACGGGAATGGGGACGACGATGACGACGGCGTTGTTGGACGGGATACGAGGCTGGGGGACGTGACCGACGACGTTTAGTGACTGTACACATACATAGCCTAGGCATACCTTCTACAATGATTCTTCAGCGTCATTTACATACAATGAAATACGATTTGTTTTGTATGCCGTTTGATAGTAGAGGCAAGGGAAGACGGTGGGACTTAGGACTTAGGGCTCCAAGCGCAAAAACAGAAAGGGTTTTTAATGGATTCGAGCATAGAACACGTATGAACACCGGTATGAATGTAGCTAAGATATGGAATGCACATGACGTATGAAATCTCCTTCCACTGCAAGGAAGTTACGACACCAGCCTATATAACGCATATCAGTAGAATTCGTGACACTAATTGCCAAACCTACAGCTGTACAACGAAGCCCATCGGTAAAGCTATCTCTGTATTCATGAACAGGTCATGGACAAAGAGAGAATCGGGTGTCCCGTTGGTCCCGGCGACTCGATACGGGGCGGGATGGAGGAGGATTGCGCGAGTTTTGAAGGTCGCGACCGTTCCTGTTGTGGCCCAGGAGACGACTCCCAGAAGACGCTGTTCGACGCTGAATAGGGCAGTGACATTGTTTTTGGCACCGAGGTCGATCAAATCACTAGGTATTCGTTAGTCAAAATATTGTCTTTTATGCATTAAACCACTTACTAGACAACCAAATCCAACTCATTCGCGTCAGTAAACCGATGCCCCAGCGAGCTCTGAAGAGTCGGCATGAGTTCTTCGAGGCATGCCTCGATACGCACGTGCTCTCGGATCATAGTGATATTTAGTTCCATTTCTGTTAACATGGTATTGAAAATGTTGAAGAGCATCTGTGAAAGTGAATATTAGTCCATAACACAGTTGTTGCTTCAGTCTTCACAGGCTAACTGACCTTTGAAAATGGTAATTGCAGCTGGCTAGTTGATGGTTAAGATTGAATAAAGTTTTTCAGTTTATGGAGGCCCAGTGACCTCTGATCATCACAAGCACAAACAGCTCACATATTGATAATAGCAGGAGCTCACTCTACATCTCGTTCCCGATAATTATGGACAATGTATTCTTGGGATGGGGACGGTATGGGTGCATATATGTTTTGTCCGGGAGGGAGGGGGTGTGGAGGTAATGTTCCATTTCCTCTTCCATCTGCAACAAACCATCTACTGAAAATGCTTAAATGGAAATCAAGCGAACAGATCGTCAGGTGTTTTACGCGTTTGAAGGTAGATGCAATAGGCGTACCTATCAATACTCGATCACCACCGAGTATCGGGCTGCTTTTGGCCTCCAATAGTAGACCACCTTCAACGTACTGTGGTTTTTGATCTATCGTTCCCTCAATGATGCAAACATCTGTTATTCCACCACACTCCTCGAGGGAACAGTTACATACCGGTCCGGCGTCTCCTTTGGACATCATGACCCCGAACCTAAGATAAGATAAGATAATGAGATAAGATAAGGCAATGTCAGTTTCGCTACAAAGAAGGTATGAGATCATATCGAACCTCGATTCTTCGGGCATAGGCATCTGTAACCACGCTGTCCTTGATAAATGAAGACTTACCCCGTTTCGTTTCTTTATTCCCAATTCCCTTTGCCACTAACCTTGGATTACGACATTCTGTGTTTTTGAAAATCAGAATTGCATATGTTAACTCGCAGTCACATGTATTACATATCTATTTCTGACAGTAACATCAGCTTTCTGTTCCTCAAAAAAAAAAAAAAAAAAAAAACATCGTTCAGTGCCAATTCCCCTCCATTTGTCCAGACATTTCTGGATCAAATCGTCTGCACAGGACCTTGGAGGGACGAATAGCCATTTATCCTTACCGGTGAAATGTGTTGAGGGTCACAGCCAAATGAAATGACACGACCACAAGCATCCTCTGCAATTTGACCCCGCCTCAACTTTGGAACCCGATCCAATGTTCAACACCTAGATGGCAGGGAATATCAGCCTAGGTTTCGTTCGCAACACACCACACACCTTTCTCAAAACCTCTCTTTCGCGATCATGCCACCATCATCGACCGCCCACACACAGACTCCCTGAGAGCTTCTTGGCACCGTCACACCGTCGTTGGCTCACCTCGCTGCCACGAGTCCGCCAGCTGCGCCGGCGGTATCCAACACCGTCCCCGTGTCCCAGCTCTTTCCGTCCTCTGATCTTCTGCCCTCCTCGACTCCACAACTACCGTATCCCTTGGTCGCTTCCTCGACTGCATCAGCCGCGCTGGCACGGTTGGGGCAGATGACAGCCTTACAAAGTAATCCAGCGGCTTTGGTAGCTCAGATGGTCTCCACCCAGTCATGACCCCAACCTCCTGTCCCCTCCTTCTTCCCTGCCTTGTGCGTAGTGGCTACACAGACGGAGACCAGTCTCATTCAAGCTGGTCTGAATCCTCCACCACCCTTCCCTCTCTATTTGGGACCATCCACCCCAGAGGTTCAGACTCATGGGAACAGCACATCAGTGCGGCGCACGTGACATCTCCGATCCCGCCATGCCGAGTTCGCAGACAACCTCGTGATCGGACGCAACAGTAGATCAGGTCCTTCAATAACTCGGCTGAAGCTGCTCCTTTTTCCTGTTGCATGTGGCAATAACGCGAACCCACCACAACATGTTGACCCGTCCGTCACTGCTGATGACCCTCACCCCTGGAGTTACCAGATCTTGCAAGAGGATATCGGTCCCATGGACCGCCAATTCGAGCGCATAGGTCTTGTTATCAACATGATCGTCCATGATGGTCTCCTCAGCTTCAGCGACATCCATCACGCCATCGCCCAACATCAGGCACTTCCCAAGAGTCCCAAAATTCCCGGCTTTAACTCTGATCCTGATGCGAGCTACCTAACGTCTGGGTGGTGCCTGCAACAAATGCGGTGTGTAAGAAACCATACGAGCCTCCGGTGTTGTGAGAAAGCTTACAAAACTGGCGCCTACTGGTGCCTCCAGACACTCACTGCTTACGCGTCCATGGTGAAGGCACCGGTAGACACTGGTGGCCATAGCGATCCTACATTGAAACACGTCTTCATCATCGGTGCGCCTCGTGACAACGTAGAAAGATTTGCTCAAACCTGACCATCCTATATAGCTCCAACATATGGTAATATTGTTCACGGCATTGAGAAATGCTATGTGGATGACTTCCGAACTTCCATCGACCTGGCCAAAGCACGCCTCCCTCATCCCTGCTTTGTGGTGAGGGCAATTTTCGGCCTGGCTTTCCTCCCTCGCACGCTCGAAAACTCCTACCAGGCGGAGGAAGAACGATGTCTTTGGCTCTGTCATGGTGAAGACCCCAACCTCTATCCATCATGGGGTGGTAGCCAAGTACGTAGTATCACTTGTCCTCCACACCCCACGGTCGCGCCAATGGCGGCACCTTTGTCTTCTTCCCCGTCCACATCCACATCGATGGTTTCCTCTGCACACGGAACTACGCGGTCGACGCAGGTATGCTAGATCTCTCCATCTCTCTTCAGTTATTTCTTCTCTAACATTCCTCCACTTCAGGAGGAGAACCATGACGAAGATATGGTTGTTGACAATGACGATGACAAGGAAAACCAGTCACCGGAGATGGCCCAGCTGTCGGTAAGAAGAACACACGTTGAACTTCCAGCTAATTTGACCTCTTCTTCCTTTGACAGCATCCACCATTTGTCCTGACGCACGTTCCACGTCCTCCCCCTCCCTTCAGTGCACCCCGATGGGACCACCCTGGTCAGGACTTGTTAGGTATTGTAAAGCAGAGGATGTCACCCAGTCGTAAGCTCAGGATCCACGCTAAGGATGTGCGAGAGGCAGCTGATGTGTTCTGGCACATCCTTCTTCACATCAGGTCAATT